GCAGACCTTTATCAACAGATGTCTTCGCTCTATACTCATGATCAGATGGCCAACAAGGAACTATGGGAACAAACGAAACAAGAACCAATCGCTCAACAAATATGCAGAAGAAAGTGGAGATGGATTGGACACTCGCTGAGGAGACCGTTGGGTGACATCGCGCGTCAAGCCCTCGAGTGGAACCCGAAAGGGAAGCGGCGAGTGGGACGTCCAAGGGTGACATGGAGGAGATCGTGTGAAGAGGAGTTGAAACAGTAAGGACTAACATGGATGCAGGTGAAAAGTACAGCAGAAGACAGAAGCGAGTGGAGACGTGTAGTTGAAGCCCTATGTTCCACTAGGAACCCAAGGGAAAAATTAATAAATAATAATTGGTCCCCTCATATCCATATACTTCGTTCATCATATGACAAAATCTTCCTGGTGAATCCATTAACAATGAAAGTTACATGACTGAAAGATATCATCATTTTAGGCTTTTACTTGTCATATTCACTAAATGACCATAAGTGGTTCAGTGTTCATTTGAAGCACTGATCATCAGGTGTGTATGTGTGTTTGTGTGTGTGTGTGGGTAGAGATAAGACCAGTTTTAAGATTTCCTCTAAACTATTGATGAGCAGATGTGAGCAGCTGCTGTAGTGCAGAAAATAATGAAAGTTACTAGGGCGTATACTTTTAATAGGTTCATATGCTTAATTAAAAATAAACTGAACTGAAGATCAATAGGACAATTGAAGGATTTTAGTCAAATTATATTTTGTCCTGAAAAGGGATTCTTAAGTAATTCTAAATGAATATGATTGACAGTATTGTGATGTGTTTGCAAGCAACTGATCTATTTTGCTGTTTTTAGTTGTAATTGAAATTTTGTGACAGTTGACATTCATGAACATCAATGATACCTTCCTCCAATGTTTATGAAGTTAGTGTTCAGGTCCTTAAATTTGTGTCATCGTTTACGGTAGGCAGACACATTATACTTGAGCCGCTAAGGTCAAAATTTAGATGAAAGCATTCCGTACACCGTCGGTAATATATCATTTTAATAATTATGGGCATATTCGTTTTGAGATGTGCAATTCTTAAGTGTTGGTAGTGATCTGGTAAAGTTAGAAACATATCTTTCGATATAGTGTCCAACAAAATTGATGAATTTCGCAAATTATTGACAAGCATATTCTATAGGTTTGATTACAACATGATATCACCTAGTGGATCCTTGGAAAACTAGGGAGAACAAGACGTTTGCTTCGTTCTAGTTTGGGATTCTTTAGTAGTACGTACCCAGCACCTTTTGGTTCCACGGAGAGGCCACCACTGAGACTCATTCCAATGGCCCATAGACTCCTACATCTTCCGATTCGCGCAACCGCCAGTCAGTGTCATGGACCAGTAGGTGTTTCCATACCTGGCTTGGTTGACTCCACCAGTTACGACTTCTCACTAGAACTCCAGGTGAATTCCTGTATATAACCAGTCGCTAGTGAGCATCAAACTAATTACCAAGTGCCAATTTTGCATAGACTTGAGTAATTAGAGGTTTGATCACGTGGTGCAGTGGTTAGGACTCTCGCCAACCATGAACATGGTCCGTGGTTCGATCACTTGCGGACGCACACCTGATATCTATGGCTTGCCTGCAAAATTTGGGCTACCGATATCGCATGCTGAGAATTCTATACTTGTACCGAAAATACGGTGTGAAGTCAAGCTGTAATCAAAAATCAAAAATTAATTTACAGAACCATTGGAAAATGGTCTGCGAGATCGCCTCGTAACCCCGGCGAAGAGTCCCAAATTAGGACGAAACAACTGTCAAGTACTGACTAGTTTTCCAATGGTTCTCTAAATGACATCAGCTCGTGATGAGATACGTAACCAGTCAAGTCCCTGAAGATCAACACTGGCTAAGTACATTTAAGATAAAATAACTCTATTAAGACCAACTCGATATTCTGTAATAATAAGGTGAGCTAGTATAGGTCTATGCATCACTTTAATCAGTCCATTTGTCTAACAATGACGGTCCATAGACTTGTCAAATCTCACGCTTCACGTAAACAGGTCCACATGTACCACCAAACTGATAAATAAGCACACAGAGTTTGGGGAATTAGGCAGTTTATCTTTCACAAGTATGTACAAATGCTTATTTATTTTAATAATGGGTGAGGCAAACAATACTACTTGGTCGCAGAAGGGATCTTTTCTGTATTTTCTTTTGTGGTTTCATTTATCTTGTTTCCACCAAAATTTTCATAATGACATGCAGATGTTTTAGAGAATTAACCAGGCATTTTTATCTGTGAACACACGATTTGTTTTTTCCTTCCACATGTGTTTTTCCACTACATCTGATTTATAAAAACTAAGCATTTTCTTATTTTTATCATATTTATCATGTTTTAGAAATAAAAGTTTGATAACACGCTACAAAGTTATTAAAGCAGGATTCATTGTATTAAAAGAAAAAAATGTTATTTCAACAGGTCAAAATTTAGTTCAGTATTTCATGTTAATAGGTTACTTCATACACGAATTCTCCTTAATGAATTTGAGCAGTTTAAACTCACCATTGCTTCCCCATATTTTTATTGCCTATTGAAAGTTTTCTAATGGCTTATATTATCTTATAACTTATGTACCTTGATAGCTTATTGCTGTCCTTTCTCCCCAGTTTTCTTTTATTCAAGAAACGCAGATCAAATTACAGATAAAATTACAACAATATTCATAGTTTACTGATGTAACATTTCGATTCATCTGTATACCGTGACTATTCTTAATTATTGTTCCATATTTTATCTCCAATGGACTAAGGGATGTTAATAATGCTATCGGACTATTAACTATCACTATTCGCGTTGTATACAGATGACAAGATAACGACAACGATGAACAGTGGATCCGGATACTCCTGCTCCATGTGTTCTTGTTGCTTTGTTTGAATGGGCTGTATATAAATCTGCTTCTTCTTTTTCAGATCAGCTGCTGGAGTACTGGGGAAGTTAAATCCTCACTGAAGCATAAATTAATAAAAATACGAGCTAGAATGACTGAAGTTTGGTCAGACTCATCAAGAGGCTCATGTGGCTGTATTTAAAAATTAAATCTGAATTTCGTTAAGAGTTGAGTTTCAGAGTTTATTCGATGAAGCGTTAATATCGTTGCTGTAGGACTAATGATTAATATTTACTGTTATTTTTTTGTTTATAGCTTGATTCCACACCGTATTTTTGGTACAAGTATGAAATTTTCAGCATGTGATATCGGTAGCCCAAATTTTGCAGACTGACCATAGATATCAGGTGTGCGACTACAGGGGATCGTACCCCGGACCATGTTCATGGTTGGCGAGAGTCCTAACCACTGTGCTACTGACGCATTCATCAGCTTTGAAGTTACTGATCTTTGAAGTAATAGGTAATGGACGTTTTCTCTTGCATGCTAGGTGGTATCTGTAGTGCTAATATCATCAGGAATTGAAACGTATTTGGAAGCTGGGTGGCTATTTAGGTTTCTTTTGGTTTCTTTTGTTTTGCAACTTTGTGAGACTGTATTTTTTATTGAGTGATAAGAGGTTAATTCTTCTTTGTTGTATGTTGTTACGCCTCATTTTTGATCTACTTAAATGACACTTTTTCGTTAACTGGAAGAAAGCTGCTTTTTTTTCAGATACTCTATAATTTAAGTCTGCTCATGTGCGTCGGTTGAATTAAGTTTCTCTTGAACACTACTTTCTAGGAAATTTTCTCGATCACTACAAGTTTGCACTTTATAAAATAACGATACTTTTCTAGTTGAAATTGAGCTGCTATTTGTCTACATGCACTGAAATCAAAGATGAAGTAGCTAATATTTGAGACTCCTCTGGGATATTCAGCAAGAGGATTAACAGATGTGTTGTTATCAGCAGCCCTTACAGTTGAATTTACAAGTAGCATTTACCCTACCATCCTTTGACAATGAATCTCTTATAAAGCATGGTGGGCTTTGCAGTGACTTCAGTAGATTCATTGGCCTCCGAAACCCGACTAAACGGAGTAATCGACTAGTGATATTCATGATTTCTTTGATGTGGAGTAAAATAATCTTCTTTCTTGTTGAGTTGTAGTCACTGTCTTGTTCTATATTTTGCCACCTTCTGTTGGCTAATTTTCCTCAATTTTTTCACATACTACATTCTGCGGTGGACGATCGTTTTTGAAAGTAATGTCTCAGTACAAGCTTCCCAGTAAGCTACTGGATAATTGCTTTTGTAATAGAAAAACTTAATCCGTGTGATTAGCATTCTTGAACACTTTCATGCGTACAGTCGTATCTAGGAAAGAAATTTTTTCGTTTTCTTTTTGTACACCACATCCCTTCAAGTATTTGATAGATTTTTGTTTTGATTATAGCTTGATTCCACACTGTATTTTTTGTACAAATATGGAATTTTCAGCATGTGATATTGGTAGCCCGAATTTTGCAGGCCAACCATTGATATCAGGTGTGTGTCGACAAGGGATCAAACCCCGGACCATGTGCATGGTCGGTGAGGGTCATAACCGCTGTGCCACCAACGCACGTAAAGGGAGGACCATGACATCCTTACACTGACAAAAACTACACGCCCGAACGCACCCAATTAGGGTCCGTCACAATGGTGAGCCTACACCCGTGGTCAGAGCATCGGTGATCATCCTGAACCCGGTACCAGGTAAGTTTACAGGTGAAATCTCACTACGATTTATTCTGGAAACCAAATTATTCACAGCTCAGTTTGAGATCTGCCTGATACCATAAACAGTGATCAAGCAAGCAAGCATTTTGAATACAGCATATAGCTAGACATCGAGTGGTATGAACTGATCCAGCTAAATGAACTGAATCACACCCGATCCACAGCTGGTGGTCTCGAACCCCCCAAAAAGCGAAAAGACTATCCGGTGTCTAAATCACCTCGATATGGAATAATTATTATAATCTCTTTTACCAAAAAGTGTAATAAAACTAATACTTTGTAACTTGTATTTATTTAAAATAGATTCTCACAGTGGTAAAAAATATGTATGTAAGCTAACCTTTAAAATGAGTTTAAAATATTGAAGGGATATTTAGATAAATTAGCTAACTTGATTACAAATATAGTAATTTCACATAGTCTTTAAAGGGGTGGTTATTAAAATACTGTTCTATCAAAACAAAAAGATTATTATATAATTTTGTTTAATGTTAATTAATACAAAGTGAATGGGCGTTTTACACACGTGGATTGACAAAATTAACTGATATATCTTTTTCATTTGATTTATAACGAACATCACTTGGTGAATTCGGTGTTGATATCTCAACAGTTGATCTTTTAAACGATCCAGAACGTCGCAGACTTGAACATCTTGAGAAATGATGAACAGTAGTAGGAGATTCTGGTGTATTTGGTGTACTCACAGTATTTTGTCTTTTAGTCTGTACCACGTTATCAACAATACTAGGTAAGGTCAGGTGTGGTTTTTCTGGTTCTATCAGATCTTTTAACACTGTATTTCTATGACTTTCTGATTTGAACATACTGGCCTTCTGTCTGGCTAAATTTCTTTTCTTTATTTTCTTACGATCTCTGGATGAGAGAATAAAAATAGGCAGAGACAATTATTATTTATGTCATTAAGTTTTATAATGTAGATTTCTTCATAATTTATTAAAGATCATTACAAATACAGAATGTTGAATTAATTGTGTAATTAATGCATAAATATTGTGATGATTTCAAGGTTTCTTGATTCAGTGATATAAGGTTGAACATGTCCCAATAAGAGAAATAATGAGGAGAATACGTTCCACGCATGTCATATAATTATTGTGGTATTATGTTATATTCTGTACAGATGGGCATAGAACCCCTCAACTATAGCATTACTCGTCATTATTATGAATATCTAAGTTATTGGCTCACACGTCATTCGCGTTACAAGTGATCGAAATGATGACTACACTACAAGCAAATGAACAGTCTATGTTCAGCATTCTTTTTAATCTCGCCTAAACAGATTTTGTGTTGTTTAAACTGATTTATCTGTCTCAGTTGAGTCAGTCTAAGAACGCTCCAAGCAAGCCAACTGGTCACCCGACTAAAGTGAGTGATTCCCAACAGTTCACATCAATCAGTAGTAGTATTTGCTACCTTGTTGATCCTGTATTTCTATTATGAAACCAGAATAATATGTTTCAAGTTTGATATCAGTTAGAGAACCACTGAAAATCAGGAAGTATTAGACACCTGTTTCTTCCTAGGGTAGGACTCATCGGTAGTACGCACCCGCCGGGTTTCGAACCCTGGACCTTCTGGCTACAAGGCAAGCTCGTGATCTTGGGTTGGAACTCTGGCGTGTGCCTATGAGTGATGAGTCCTACACTGGGACGAAACGGATGTTCAGTACTCCCTGATTTTTAATGGTTCTGTAACTGATATTGGAACAAATGAAATCCCTACAAACTAACTCCTGAGAACAGTATTTCTCTGAATAAATATTGTCTTTTCAGATATTCTTGGGCTAATGTGCGCATGTCGTGAGGCTACTCACTTTTTTATTTGAGTAGTTGTAAAATTAGATGAAGTGATATCTGAGAAAACTATTGGTGTACAAAAATGGGAACAAATTTTATTTCGTTTACGTTCTTCCTTTAATTTAATTCTTCCTTTAACTTAAAAAAAGTAAGTAACAAGTAATATTATCAATAGTTGGTTTGTAGGGATTAGATTTGTTTCTACAAATTTGACCACGGACTGATATCAGTTAGAGAACCATTGAAAACCGGCACCGGAGTACTGGACAGCTGTTTCATCCTAGTTTGTGAATCAGCGCCAGCACGCACCCACCACCACTGTTCGAACCCAGGACCTTCCTGTTACAAGGCAAACTCATATACCATTCAGCCACTGGGACGTGATTCAACCGGCCATGAATTCTAACTTCTCCTAGTTCATGATTAAGCACGACCACCAACCAATGTCATCGGCGGGAACTCTATCCTCACACATGATTGGATGTACCTCACTGGTCACGAGTTCTCACTAGAACTCCAGGAAACTCCATCCTGTTGCAAGTCACTAGAGAGCATCAGATTAGTTTTTTATACTTGGTTTGTAAGGATTAGATTTGTTTTTACCAGTTTGACCACGGATTAATATCAGTACTCCCTGGTTTTCAATGGTTCTCTAACTAATATCAATCCTTGGTCAAACTCGTAATAACACGTAATAGTGAAAACATAACAATGGATGTTTTTAAGTGCTTTATAATCTCATGATCGCATAAGCTTCATAAGTGAAGTTACTTTTGGTGTCTTTAACTTCGCGAAATAAGCCTTTTTTACACAGTTTAATTCAAATGTCATCTCTGGAATAGCATTTTCTTTAAGATACTTTTTATGCATATATATATGAGAACAGTTTCATATTGATTTACAGTGGCTCACTGAGATATTATTCATAATCGAACTCAATTTCAATACATTGGTAAGAATATTTCAATACGTTAAGTATTTGAGCAGAACTTAATTACGAATGTTTAATGTATCCCTTAGAGTAATACTACTAGGTGGTGAAGTTTTCACAATAAGATGAAATGGCAGTGATAACATCTAATAAAACATTCTACCTTTTTTATTAAATAAAATCAAAAGTTAAACGTAAAAAATCACAATTACGATTTGTGATAAAAAGTGACTGCTAAGAATGGATGGCGTGTTTACCGGTGTTAACTGTTTGTCATAATTAACTGTTACGCAAGCTACTCAGTAATGAAGTTTGTGTTCTGGTGAACTACATTATCGATCAACACTGGGTAGGAATACGCTGACTTCATTTTACTGGGCACCATGTAGTTACTACTGTCATGTGTCTAGTCTTTCGTTTAGTGCAGACTAAATTCTATCAGTCAATTTTTCTGTTATCACCATGTTAGGTGGCTCACTATCAGGTGCATTTTGGATTGTTTTTAGGTGGTTAGAGACAGTCAGTGGCACTGCAAACCTCACTGATAGAATTCAGTCTGTATCAAACAAGGGACTAGACTCATGACACTAGTTACTACCTAATACCCAATGAAAGTATTCCTCACAGTCCTATTGGAGATCAATCTCAAGTCTGAATAACTTAGTAGTAACGTCTCTGACTGCAACTCCTGAATGACCTGTATTGAAATCTCAGAGGGAACATGATTTCATTGAAGACTGCAGATACGCCTTGCAGTCTTGTGTGTGTGTGTACCAACTAGCATGAAACATAGATTCAAAGCTTCCTAACCGTTGACTTCATTCATATAAAGAGTCCCAAACCAAGACGAAACAGCTGTTCAGTACTTCATATGAACTGTGATCAAGATTTGATTTTCAATGGTTCCCTAACTGGCATCAGTTTGTGATAAAACATGAAATTTTTACCATTTGTCACAAGAATTTCATTTAGCTAGTAACTATATCTCATGAATTTTCTGTAACTTTCTGGCTAATTAAAAACAAATTTTGTAAAACCACAAGTACATTGAAGCTCAATGGAAGCATAAAAAGTATGTGAATGCTGATAAAGTACAAAATTTCACCTTTCTAACTAATTGTAAATAAAAAACAAATTCCAATAGAGTGATTAAAATTTGTACTTGAAAAATTTGAGTTTAGAAAACAATTAAATTAAATTATTTATACATACAAGTTTCATTTACTTCTTATAATCTCATTTCTATTTTAAATGAATTTTCTTAACTTTACTGTAATCATCGTTCACATGTCATTGTTATTGACTTGCAATTTCATTTACATTGAACCTCTAAGTAATATTTTCTTTAAACATGACATTAATTAATTGCATAAAATTTCAGATTGTTTGCCAAATGACATCCAAAAGTACATAAGGTATGCGTTAAATTTCTTTACAAACAAATAAATATAAGGTAAGAGGGTAGATTTGGTCAGGAAAAACAATGAAACCATTGAAATAACCGCAGGGGAATTATTATTATTCCCCCGCGTTCCAAGTGGAACATACGGCTTCAGCAACACATCTCCACTTCCTTCTATTTTCTGCCATCCTCTTCATCTGGGTTGACGACTGACCACAATCCCTCATCCTTTATGCCCCAAACGATCTCTTCCATGTCACCCTCGTGCCAACGACACACTCATCGCTGCCCATAGGGATTCCACTTGAGCAGTGGCTTTCATTGCGTGCGATATCATTCGATGGTTTCCTCAACGTAGACCCTACCCAGCTCCATTTTCTCCGACATATTCGTTGAGCAATCCACTCTTGGTTGGTTTGTTCGCAGCCAGAATTTCTTGTTGTCCATTCGTCCTGGCCGGGCTCCAGGCCATTTGATCATCAGTATGCAGCCAGCAATGGCAGCTGTTGATAAAAAATCTGTGACTTGTTGGAAAACCTTTTCGTGGCACACGTGTCAAGTTTGTGACCAGTATAGAAGGACCGACCTGACATTGGTGTTTAAATGAAAATCTTGTTCCTTATGCTGGCTGAGTGCAGAGCAGAAGATTTGCAAACTGGTTTGAGGTTAATAAAGGTGTATCTTGCCTTTCCGATTCTTACTTTGACGTCTTCACTTTTTCCGCCTGTGGTTGAAATGATGCTTCCTAGATAGGTGAAGGCGGTAACCTCTGCCAAATCTGCCTCGATGATGTTGATCGGAATGGATATCTGTTAAATTATAGTATAGAATTCTTCGGGAGAAATCACCTACTATCACTGATGTTACTCTTGATTGTAATGGACCAGATCCTGTGACGGACCATGGGTAGTAAGAAGACAGGTATACACTGAACCGATAAGATTCTAGAGGATTTAAACTTCAACGATGATTTATGTGTAATGTCACACAAACGTGAAGATCCACAGGCGAAAATCAACAAATGGGCGGAAAAGGCTGGCAGAAGAGACAAAACTTCGAGTAAACATAGAGAAAACAGGGGTGATGAAGATACCTGATAACCAACCAATATTTATAGGTAGCAGTCTCTATCAACAGCAGAAATTTGAAGGGGAGCACTCCTTTCACCTATCTAGACATCATCGTTTCAGCTACTGGAGGCGTGGACGAAGATGCAAAAGTCAAGATCAGAAATATAAAACAGACCTTCATTAATCTGCGATCTGTGTTGAAATCTACTGCTACACACAGTATAAAAAACAAGATTAGAATTTTCCACACCAATATTAGGTCAGTTCTTCTATATGCTTCAGAAAATTGGCGTGTTGCAAAAGGCATTTCAAAATAGCATCAGATTTTAGCAATGACTGCCTTCGACCCATAGTGAAGATGAGAGAGTCGACCAGAAAGCAACGAGGAACCGATGGCCTAAAAAATATGCCAGAGAAAATATGGATGGATTGGACATACACCGAGTGAGTGACATCACGAGTGATGCCTTCAAGCGTAACGTGAATGGGAAATGGCGTCTTGGGCCACCGAAAGAGACATTAAGGAGATGATGTGAAGAGGAAGTGAGAGCTTATGTGTAGTGGTGGAACCTGCTAAAAAGCATTGAAGAGATATGCTGCTGAAGCCCTATGTTCCACTTGGAACAGAAAGGCAGTCAATTCGCGCTAAT